TTTCAATAGGTAGAGAAGAAACCTTTATATCGTTACAAACATTTAAGCCTTTCATTTCCAAGAGTGGTAAGAATCAAATTCTCCTAAAAAAAATCTATACAGGAGATTAGACAACCTTCAACTGGCCGGCAATATATTCCTGATCTACCATCAAATTCTTATAACTTGACTAAAGAGAAATGTATGGAAATCAGTAAGAGAATTTTTAATTCAAGATTTAAAGAGTTAAACAAGCGCGGACCATTTGTTATTCAAATTGAAGGCCAATTAAATTTCTTTTCTCGACCAAAACTGGGCATGACATTTCTAAATATGTTGTGTTAAATAAAAAGCCACAGTCATAAGAACTGACTTATAATCTTTCAACGACTGGCAGAAAAATTTCTTCGTGAAAATCGCAATTTTTGAACGTCTATATTTCGTCGAGTTTGAATCAAAGTCTCTACGAAACTTTGTGTTGTTGTTAAATTCGACGTGGCAAATCTATTGCCACTTAAATTTGGTATTCGAGAAACATTTTGTCGCAGAACATTATAACGGTGCATTCTGACCATAATTTGCGATTCTGTAGTTTTTAATAACATTGGTCCGCGCTTGTGTTTTATTCGCTGAAAATATGTCGCACATCTTTCNACATTTAAGCCTTTCATTTCCAAGAGTGGTAAAAATCAAATTCTCCTAAGAAAATCTATACAGGAGATTAGACAACCTTCAACTGGCCGGCAATATATTCTTGATCTCCCATCAAATTCTTATAACTTAACTTAAGAGAAATGTATGGCAATCAGTAAGAGAATTTATAACTCAAGATTGAAAGAGTTAAACAAACGCGGACCATTTGTTATTCAAATTGAAGGTCAATTGAATTTCTTTTCTCGACCATACAGCGCAATTTATATTTTGTTGGATAGTTTTCTTTGCTATTTGACGGCACAATCATGCAATTACATAATTCAAACTTGGCATGACATTTCTAAATATATTGTGTTAAATGAAAAGCTACAGTCATGAGGAAAACTGACTTATAATCTTTCAACGACTGGCAGATAAATTTCTTTGTGAAAATCGCAATTTTTGAATGTTTATATTTTGTCGAGTTTGAATCAAATCTCTGTGAAACTTTGCGTTGTTGTAAATTTCGATGTGGCAAATCTATTCAGGCACTTAAATTTGGCATTCGCGAAACATTCTGTGGCAGAAACATTATAACGCAGCCTTCTGACCATAATTTGCGATTCTGTAGTTTTTAATAAAATTGGTCCGCGCTTGTGTTTTATTCGCTGAAAATATGTCGCACATCTTTCGCGAGCGAACTTTTAAGTCAACAAGGAATTATTCTAAACCTGGAGAGATTTCGTACTTGAATTGGACCGTTAATCAACCATCAAGTTTTAAATTTTCTAATTGACAGTTTCCCACTACTTATAAAAACCCGGGATAAATTTTAATCGAACAGCAGCTGTAGACTTAGTTAAACGATATTTGCTAGTGACGTTTATCATTGGTTTTGGTAGACAGTTTTATACCACTTGTAAAAACATCGTACAACTTTTACTCGAATAGAAAATGTAGTCTTCATTAGTGACACAGATATTTGATAATATCACCTGCGTCTTTCTTCTTAATTTCGATAAGGCGATTTCTCGTAATAACGTATTAATTATCTTTATTTATACCGTTCACCGCTATTTTGTACACTTTATCAAACCTGTAAGTGCAGTGAATAATTAATATTACAACTTGTAATCTTTAAGTATTTTAATAGAATTGAAATAAACAAACGGTTGCAAGTAACAAATGAGTCTCAATTGAGTCTTTTTGTCTGAGTATATTTTAAAAAAATAATGCGCTTTTAAAAAGGGGCCTGGAAACTAGTCGAAATGTAGGCTATCTCTTTTACTATTTTTTGACTATGTAGGGTTGCC